GTTTGTCCCACCAATTTCCTAGCTAACTTTCTGTTTTCAGATCTTTAAATACACTTTTCAATATTAGCTGAAGCATCCTGTGAAAGAAATTCAGAATTCTAAAAAAGAATGAAGAATATCCTGTTTATCTTGCTACATTTAATGGGTTTTCCTGTTACATTCATTTGGGCAAGCCTTCCACATTTTAAATACTGTCCTTTTCCCTGTGATACTGTCTTTAACTTCCCAATAGTCACACACTTCTCCCCTCCCCCCTTACAGCTTTTGTTGAACTTTTTTCTGAATTACAGTACAGTGTTTACTCGACTCTGTAAGATGGCATTTTCAGAACAGCTTTTGGACTACTTGTAGGTATGAGCATCTTGTTTGCTGGACCGTTTATTATTCAGTTCTCTATCCTGAAGTTGAATACCCTGTATGCTAGATTAACTTGGGTTGTTCTCTCCCGGTCCACTAAGATTATGGTTATTCTCCCTTCTGCTGCTAACTCTTACTTCCTAAATCCTGTGCACAACCCAGGACCACTCCCAGAATAGCTCTGATTTGCTGTGTGATTTACAGAATACTGTAAACAGTCATTTGTCATATCCAAAGCTTTTATCTTCTCATAACATCCTAACAAGTAATTGATACAAGTCCATATGTAGGTAGTTAAATCTCCCACTTTACTGCCACAAAATCTGCAGTTTCTCTAATCTCAGCATATTCTCACCACAAACATCTTCTGATCAGAGGGCTATTAATACAGTGCAATATTTTACTATTAGAAGGAATTTCCATTCGTTATGTTTCTACAGTGGGTTTTTTCCCCCACAAGATTTTTCAGGCTGCTACACCTCATACTATTTTTCATGCTAAGCTCCACTCTCCTACCTGTATACCTAAACATTCAGGCAAAGTTGGCAGCATATCAATGTCCTACACCATCGATTACTCTCATTCCGTCAGGCTTCCACCACATCTATCATAAAGGGGTTGTCATTCAATATCAAGCATTTTTGTTCATTCATCTTATACTTTAGGCTTTAGATAATACAAAAACACATGTAAGGTTTACTGTTGCTCCACTGCTCAGTATTTCAAGTATCAGTCAGCTTCAAGTCATACTTACTTGATTTAATGAATTATTGTAAGGGATTTCTTTAATACCATTGTTGCCAGAAAGACTCTTCACATATTTTCTTCATTGATCTGCAACTATTGTATAAATCTTAAATATTTGATATTTCTTATGATTTTTCTCTTTCAAATATCAAACTATCCTTAATACCTCATACTCCTTTTTGCCTTTAAAATGAAAAATTATGAAAGAACCAAAGAAGATCCATGCAAAGCATTCACATTCAACTTATTTTCAGATTTCTTTTTTATTTTTTTCCATTATCCATATTTTGCCATTGTTGTTTTGGGTTTGCTTGCTTTTTTTATGGTCAGGCAGAGAGCCTGGGACTGTTCCTTATTTTCCACACTGTTTATAAGGCAGTAATTTTACTCCCTTTTCTTTTAGCTGCTGACACAAAGCTAGTGATTTGAGGGTTCCAGAACCTTTTTCTTTCTTTTTTCTTTTTTTAATAGTTTCTTGTAATATCTCAGAATGAACTTTCGTGTTTTCTTGTAAATATCTTAAACATATGTACAATTTTCAGTCATAATTAAATCTTTTCTCAAGTACTCATGCTGAAAATATTCCATCTACACCCTGATTAGTATTTCCAGATTCTGAACAAATATTCTCCTCCCACATTCCCTGTGTAGCAGTTAGTCTATTTGACTTTATTTGACAAAGGAGTACGTTTGCCACTCTGCCCTTGCCTACTTCTTTCATGTATATAATCTTACAGTTCTTTAAGATTATAGAGTTATTCTGAGCCCAGAAAAAGAGCTTTTCAACAATTAAATTACACTTTGTTTTCAGTAAGTTGCTACAGGAGTACAATCAGCAAGTGTTGCCTTGGTACTTGTCATCGTTCCAATGTAAGTATATAAGTCAAAGAAGTGATTATTTCCCTCGATTTCCCCTTCATTCCCAAATAAAAGTATCTGCAGCATTTGTTCAGTTTTCAGCTCTCCACTTCAAAAGAAATGTAGATATTTTGGATTGAGTACAGCAGAAGACCACTAAGATGATTAGAGGGCCGAAACATATGATGCAGAGAAGGAAATGCTGAGAGCTGTGATTGTCAGTCATAAGAAAAGACAAAGGACGAGGGAACTCTTACTGCTGTCTCAAACTATATAACAGGGGGTTACAGCAAGAGGGAACCAGATACTCCTTGGAGGTGTACAATGAACAAGAAACAACAGACAAAAGCTGCAACGAGAAATATTACGACAAGATGTTATGGGAAAAACACTACCACAATAGCAATAAAAACTGGAAAAGGTTGCTAACCCTACAGCCATACATCTCCATTTCTTAGGGATATCCAAAATTCAGATGGAAAAGTCTCAGGCAAGTAGGCTGACTATGCTTTAAGAAGGTGGTTGGACCAGATGCCCTCCAGATGTCCCTTCCAAACCAAATAATTCCATGATTTGAGAATGTCTTTGACCTACCTAACATCCTCAACAAAAGTGATTTTCCAACAGTTTGAAGCTTGATGCTCTTTCATTTTTTTCTACTCACAGTAATGTTTCTTTAATGTCTCCATAATATCTTCAGTTATTTCAATTGCTTCAATAGCCATTTAGAATCAGCATCATTTCGAACTTTTATACAAACATCTGCTAAAGCTTCAAATCTTTTCAATATTATTCTGTATTCCTTTTTGTAGCAGAAATTCCTCAGTGGATTTTATACATACACATAAGACTTCCTCTTCTTGATCAACACTGAAATACTTTTGGCACGTCAGCTGGTAAAACGCAGTAACTGAACATTAAGTAAGATCAGATTGAAGTATTCAAATCAGAAGAAAATTTACTTAAAGCGTCATTGAACATCCTGGTCCCTCCTTCCACAACTTCAGTGAAAAGAGTGCATAAGCAGACCCTTCAACAGAGTAGAAACCAGTTCATTCTTTACACTTGGTTACAGAACTATTTTCAGTTTCTCTTATCTTTTGGGTTTCAGAGATAAAGCTTTAGAAATAGTCAAGGACTGTTCCCAAATTGAGTCTAGTGAATAGCTTGATGATTCTACATTAGAAAGCATGGTTACAAATCTCTTTTAAGGCTGAGAGGTGTACAAAAAATGCAGGACTCTAATACCCTTGACCAAGTGTTATCATAAAAAATAATGCATAAACTGCAAAGAAACATCCCTTTTCTCCACAGCCATGAGTTAAAAGTGGTTACAGTACTGTCCTGTATACCAAGATTCACGCTATTGCTAAGAGACACTGAGATCCCCATTGCTGCCTCTATATATGTTTAAATATTCATGCAAATTTTGGTAAACCACTCACTAAAACAAAGATGAAATTTAGGTCCTTGTTGCCATTCAGATGCATACTTAATATTCTAAATACAATCTTTAGCATCTCTTCCTTTGAAAAAAAATAAGATGGCACACATATCATCCAGATGATATAGATAAGCAGTAAGCTCCACCTCTAAAAAATTTAAATTCATCCCTGCAAGCTTTTTTACCCGCTACCACCATTACACCATTTGATTTAACAATACGTCACTGATTTTTCATCTGTAGATCCAGTAATTCTTTTCTATTAGGTTTTGTCAAAACTATGTATCCAGTCCATTCAGTTCAACTTTGAAGGGATGTTAATCTTGTTAACTCCAATGTTCTTGCTGGCGGGAGATTCACAATCCTCCTCTGAGCCATTAACGTTTGGCCTCAACATCATCTAGTCTCCCAGATTTTACTGTTTAATTACACACAGGAAACTGTATTTCCTCCAGTGGCTTTTAAACCTTCCAACCTATTAATTCAGGGAACATTCTTGGGAATTCTCCTAACATTATAAAGGCACCACAATTATCTTTAGACTTATTCTAATAGATTCAAGAAAAAATTACTACAGTCAGTGAAATTTTCTTGCCTTTTTATCTTTGCACAACATTTTTAATATTATTAATATTAACATTAATAACTGTAACTCTCAACTCATTAGAAATACTGCTACAGCAACTTAAGCATAAAAAACCCGATCTGACAAAAACAGAAAAAAGTAAAAAATTCTTGGTTACAGAGAAGAAAACTAACAAACAAACAAAAAACTGTGGTTTTATTGATAATACCATGCATTAAATAAAAAATCACAATGAAAAATCTCAAACAAGTTAAAAATATAATAATGTGTTTCAATTTGAAAATTTGAAAAGGAATTAATTATTGTGCTCCTTTGGCTGCCCCAAAGGACTGAATCTCTAACACCACTCAAGGAAGATAAGGAAAAAAGTGTCAAGAAGTTACATGGCATTTTATATATGGAATAAAATAATGAAACTATTATACCAGTAAGACAACTTACTTCCAGAAAGGGAGAAAAGGTTTAAAGACGGGAATACTTTCAAAGAGTTTGCTCTTCCACAAGGTATTAAAAACTGAAGAAATTAAACAAAATGTCAGGAGAGATGAATGTTGCTACAGTTCCATTGAAAAGTAAAAAACTGCGTTAAAAAGATTCTGGACCTTCATGGAACCAAAACATCAATTAAAATATGCAACCTGAGGGTAAATACATCACCTTCTGGATTCTAGATTGGGTCACAGTATTTTATTAAGGTATTCTGACAAAATTGTATTTAAAAATCTTTCAAATGTCTGTATTATCAGGAAACATTTCTCACTGTTGTTTTTTTTTGTTGTTGTTAATTTTTTCCTTATGGGTCACACATTTTTGCCACCCCTAAAGTAAAATAGTTCAACATTACTGCTTTAAGCAGTCTGGGATTTTCAAATGCTTTTTTCTTCACACATTCCACTAAAAAAAACGTAACTTTAATGTTATATTCTAAATCCTTTGATACAGTATTTAAGTCCCAACCACCTATAAGGTATCTTTAAAAGCTGAAAACTAAAGCAATCAATTACTTACCCCTCTGTTGACAACAAAATGTAAGTTCCAATTTGCAAAGCATGTCAGCATTCTCGTACTTGTCCTCTTCTACCTTAACCCAGAAACAGGATTCTGTCATTTCCTGTGGCCTGATCTACAAGCAAGAGGTAAACCAAAATTAATTCAATTATTCTGATAGCATGGAGAGACCAAAGCAAATGAAATACTTAAGAGCTCTGTAAAACACCTGAAGTTTTCACATACAATCCAACTTCAGAATTGTTAAAATGTTTCTGATTCAAAATAACAGCACTTACAGTAAGTACTTTTGGACAAACAATATAAACAATACTGACAATGTACTATGTTATCCAAGGTCTACATATAGCAATCTTTGGTCTAGATTGAAAACATAGGTAAGGCTTAATTAGTCTCTGAACACAACTGATTCAAATAGGTACTAAATATCTCATTTTGGTCTTTGTTTTGGTCTAAATAGTTACAGTTTCCAAAACTCAATGTATTGATAATCCTGGTACACTTGAGCCTGTCACAATGTAGAAGAAAAAAATAGATGGACTCTGTCCTTTTCAACTGTTAAATTTATATAAGTACATTGACACTGAGGACAAATGGATAGACCAACAATGCTTCTTCCCACACTCCATGGGTAGATAGATGCAAGACACTTCACTGGAAACTGCAAAGCTATCGATACTGTGCAGTACTTAATCATCTAGTGTAAACAGTCTGCTATAAGACAAGGCACAGAAGGATCCAGGAAGCATGCTGGCGTCACGGTTCTAGTACTCTAGACCAGAACTGACTTTTCCAGATATTTGCCTGGATGAGTCATGAGTCAATGAAACACAATTTTCAGGAAACTGTAAAAACTAAAGGGGCAAAGTATTCATATTTTACACAATGTTAACTAATTTATCAATTGCTCTATACAGTCTTATTTCTGACAATGTATTTATCTAAAGTTCTCTGAGAGATTTTTGATCAGGTATTTGCCATTAATCAGTATTACCTTGGACCAGTTGAGTCTTTTCATGGTGACCTCAGGTCTGAACTCTTTTTTAGGCTTCAGTCCAAATGGCAAAGTACATGAAGGTGGAGACCGCTGTGCCCCAAGCAGGCCTGGTAGAGGTGGTGGTGGTGGGGCACCCAATGCTGGAGGAATTCCCAAGGCATTCAAAAATGGTGGAGGAGGTGGGGGAGGTGGCGGTGGTGGGATTGCCCCATTAGAAGGCAGTGGTGGAGGAGGCGGCGGTAACTGATGTGGTCCTGTAGCATCCGCTGGAACGACAGATGCATCTCCACGTGTTGATGGTAGACAGCCAGGTGGCAAGGAGCCATACTGATAAGGAAAATATTCTTATTCAGTTTCATATTTTTATAAACTAAATGCCACGACAATCATTGTTTATAGATTAAATCCAGCAAGCAAAGTTAAAGTCAGTGATGTCTGTGCCTAGGACAAGCAAATATGAATTATAATAAAGCCAACATGTTTTTAATTTCATATTTGGAAGTCTCAATATTTGAAACAGACATCCAAAGCACTGGATGCATGCCAAAAATCACAAACTGAAATTCTATATTGTGCTCATATTTCATTGATCATGATCTAAGAAGTGTTTAATAGGTATCTTGATGAAATTTTATCAAGACTACCACAGTTCAATTCAAATTAAGAAATAACAACCTAGTTTCTAGCATTCCTACTTATCCGACAGATTACAGAGAAATATTCCTAGGATTTAATACCGGAATATGACAAGATTAATAATTCTGTTAAAAAAAAATCCAATATGGGAACACTTTAATTCTGCAGGATTGAAGGCAGAAAGTAATGATGAAAAAAATCCTTCCAAAACTTATGGCTGCCTTATATCTGCAGATATAAGCAGATATCTAGCAGCCATTCTATTTGTGAAAATAAGAAACATTATCCTATTATAAAAAAGTGGACAGAAAAAGTAGTAGCAGGACAATATTATACAGTACTTATTGAAGCAGTTTGACAACTGTAATAAAAATTTGTAAGATAACACACTGACAATATTCAATATAGTGAGGACATCTGTACTATGTGGAGATGGGCTTTTTTTTTTCATTCACACTTTCATAACTAAAAGCAAAAAAAAACAAAAAACACTTTCTGCTATTTGAAGGAATTCTATCACAGCCCTTTAAACATTATTAAATAGCTAACCAAAAAAAAAAAAAAAAGAGAGATAAGAAATATTTATCTATTGGTCATAATGCTAATCAACTTTTTTAATTGTTAATTATGAAGTTGAGTAGTCCATTTTAGTTTTCAAACGTAGAAGACAATACATTAAGCAAAGGACTGAAAGAGTTTTAAAAATAAATAGCTAAATATCAATATATATAAATAATATTGCTTTCAATTGCTCAAATTCTACATTATTTACACCAACACAAAAGAATTAGGTTCCAAAAAAAGTGAAAGAAAACAAATATTAACAAGTTCTAAATACTAAAAAAAGAGTAAATGAGACCAGGAAAAAGATAGTTGTAACAGGTTGATGCCATATGGAAACCAAAGATTCCTCTTAAAATGGATTGAAGAGTAATAGTACTAAATAGAAGTAATCAATTGCTTGTTATTTGTAAAATATTCCAAGTAAAATTAACAATAGAATAGTTCATGAGTGTAAGCATATATTATGCTCACTGTCTTCACGTAAAAAATAAAAGGCAATATTTAACCCAGTGAACAACAGAAACAGTAAAATATGGGAGATAAAACCTAATTCACTCACAAAAAAAAGAAATAAAGTATGTTTTCAACAAATATGCATAAAACTACTTTATTAATTTATGATGTGCAGCTTTTTTTTTTTTTTTTAGAAAGCAACAAATTGTGTAATTACTTTTTTAAAGCCTGACTTCAATATTAACAGTGAATTCTGACCAGAAACCTGAATCAAAATAACATTTTTGAGCAGACCAACGCAGAGCTGAACTAATATTCCTCACTTAAGAAAAAAAAACAGGCTCAAAACCATAAAAAAACTCTATGATCAAAACATATATTTCATCATCTTTCTACATCCATGTTTTCTCTTCTAACTCAATGATCTTTAAGGTCCCCTCCAACCTGAGCTGTTCTCAATGCTGCCTGTGTTTAGCCATTTTTAGATTGTGCCTCGTTCTTGAAAATAAGACACGGGAAAATCACTTGCTCACAAAGTCTCCTTACACAAATTTTAGTTACACAAATTAGTTACGAGTTTGTTCAAGTATCACTTAAAAATCTGCACTATTCCTTCTCCATCATATTTTATAGCATCTATTTATGTTTGAAATTTGAAAAACTATCATAAAATGTTCTCATCAAGCCACAAGTTGTTTCTTCCACTGCTGGATATCCATAGTAAGGCTTCAGCAAAGCAACTGCACAATGAATAATTTCCTGTTGAGGGATAAAGATCACAATGATAAATGCTAGTCTAAAAGCATATGACTTATTACCCTATGTGGTTAATTACTTTGGAAATATATGACACTGAAAGCAAAACCCAAATGAAACAAGAAACTAGTTAATTAACAGAGCTCAGGCACAAAAAGGATCAACTGGGATCTCATATTGCTAATTAGTGTCACACTACAATTCCTTGTATAAAACAGAAACAAAAGAAACTAGCAGTCAATAATAATCAATAACGGGATTGTTCGAAGCACCCTCAACTGCACTACCAGAATCTGAAAAAAAAAAAAAAAAAGAGTAAAATGAATTCTATTTCAAAAGCAATCTTTCAGACATTCATTAAACTGTCCTATACCTGCAATTTAAAAGCTTGTAGTTCTGCTTCAAGTTCATTGATTCTTTCTTCTTTTTTTTGCAGTAGGGCCTGGGTCTCCTGATGAACTACAAAATCTTTTTCAAACTAAGGAAAAAAAAAAAGAAAAAAATGTTGATGCTAGACAGTTCCACATACCTTCTTTGGATTCCCACTTCTCCTTCTGGGTTTCTTAACAAAAAATTGGTAAAGCATGGTAATACAGAGTCTGCAGACACAAACAATTAAATTCTTATTCTCATACTTCAGCTGTATGAGAAACTGTTCACTGTTTAGATAAATATTTCAGTTGATTTTGGGGAGATTTATATGTGAAATCTTAAAATAAATAGTAGAAAGGCTAAGTTAAGGTAACTATTTTACAACTTTTCTGTACTTCCCAGTCCACAAGAAATAGCCAATTCCCACTTCAACCTAAGTAATAATAGTAATTTGAAGTTAAAAGCTATGCCACTTTCAATTACACTATTCATGAAGCTATTAAGTAATTTCCTGTGTCCACGTGATGACCACATAACTTAAAAATTACATACTTTTCTGGAAAGTTCAGAAGCTCTCTCTTCACATTCTTCTAATCTTGCTTTATCTACACAAATATCTGGAAAAAAAAAAGCAAATACACACTTGCAAATGTACAGGGAAAACAGGACTCTTAACCATAGATAAAACTCTAATTTGTTTTCTGAAATACAGAAAAAAGTATGATATTGTAATCATTTCCATGCATAGTACTTACCTACTAAGTGGCTGAAATTTATATCTAATCTTTTACGATATGTGAAATCTGGGTCTGTTCCACTTCGATGCAACACTATCTGGGAAACGCACTCTTCAATTATTTTGAAATACTGTGGACTAAAGACAGAGGTAAATTCTTTTACAACATTTTTTAACATATACTTAAATCCTGTCTATGAACACAGTTGATGTTGAAAGATTTAGGCTGACTTACTTCTATAGGATAGATGCAAACCTCAAAGGACAAATATGTCTGCTATTTTATTGTACAAGAACAGTTACACAAAGCCTGAATTACCAGTAGACCTAAACATAAAGTCTTCTTATATTCTAAACTCCACATCTCTTTTCCTATTGAACTACAGAAAGGCAGGACACCTTCCTGCTTCTTATCAACAGAGAGAAGGCTTTTCCTTCAGTTTTATTCCTTCTGCTTTCATGATATTTGTGACTGTGGGTGCCTGCAACCCTGTTGCAGTAAACTGAATGAAAAATCGCATTGTTCTAAAATGCCAAATGATACGACAGCTGGTCCACTTGACTAGAACATGCAAGCTGTGAATTCAAACCCTTTTGGGTCGAAGTGGTGTAGCACAGATGCACCCAAGTCAGGCAAGCACTCTTAATAAGGTGAGATGTGTGGACAAAGTGCACTTCTGTGTATAATGTGCTTTTTGTCCTTTGATCCAAATACACAAAAAAATTACTACTGGTTATGAATCATGTCAGTAGCAGTAACAGATCTGTTCTGATCACTTATATTTGCAGTACATAAGCTTCAGATCTCAACAAATGTAGTATTCTCTCTATATAAAATTGTATCCTAAGCAAAAGAGGAAAAAGAGCGTATAGAAGGCATTCATATTCAAAGCTGATACTTTTGAACAAGAATTCACAAAGGAGTATTTCCAAACTGCATTCAGCATAGAAGAATACTAAAATGTATTTATCTTTAAAATTGTAAAAGCACATTAATGATTAAACAACCATCTAATCCATAACTGACATTTAATATAGCATTAAACATACCGTATAAAATAGTCATTTCTTATCAGCAAAAGATGTTGGAGAATAGAAAGAAAATATCCTTCAGCACTGGTATCCTTAACTGTATTCCACACCATGTTGTAAACATCATTTACTTCAGTAAGAGAGTTAAGGAAAGTAACAGCAAGGAGGGAACATTTCATTCAAATGTTGACTAATAACTTTTTTTTAACAAAAGCTATATCAGAAAAATGTCCATTACAGACATTATTTTGTTCATGTTTCTCTTGATGATATCAAAAGGATATTCTAGTTCAGATCTAATATCTTCTAAACGATGAGAGAACTCGATCATGTCTTCTTCCTTATGCTCATTGAACACCTTCAGCTGAATATCTAGTGCTTCATTTTTTATACATTTCAATTGCTGCAAGGAAGAAACACTTGAAAAGCTAGTAAAATTAGCGTCACCCTAAGTAAATAAACTGTATCTTTTATTAATAATTTCTATACGTCTACATCATTTTGAAGTTTAAATAACGAGAACATAGAGTTAAGTCAAATATTCAAAAGGTAATCATGGCTTCAACCTGGCTTAACTAGTGACTGCACTATATTCTGTCGCATGTTCTAAATCAAAGTCCTAAAAGGTTAAGAATTCAGCACAAACTTCAGAGAGCACACTTCACCTTTTCATTCTTATTTTAAGGCTGATTCTCATATCTAACTGCTCAGGCTCCAACTTAATAAAATGCCTTTGAGAATAATTTATTACAACGTGTTCTCTGATTCCCCCCCTCAAGCTCAAATAGTCCAGTAATTTAAATAGTAATACAAAGAGAGACTACAAGGCGCTTACTGGCAATATCTCTTTTAATCCACTGCGCATAAATTCATTTCTGATGTGAAGCCTAAAATCCAAATCATCAGGAGATGTAACAAGAGCATTGATGAGCTGCATGCAAGCTACCTATAACAAAGGAAAAATAAAACAATTTTTAGTTTTCAATAATCATCACAGTCAAAACAAGACATAACAAACTACCTAATTAGACACATCTAATTATGTCACATCTGATTATTAATATATTATAATCATATAATTAAGATAGTTAAATTTCATATCAGCCATGAGGTATGGATACCAAACACAAGTCATAAATTTCCATAAAAATTGAGTATTTTCTCACTCCATTGAATTTTGCCATTTTATACAAACAGCAAGTTCACTTACCTCAAACACCTTGATAAGCACGATTCTCAATACATAAATAATGCAATGGAAGCATACATTTCTATAAACATATATATTTAGTGACATAACAGAAATGGTAAAAGCTAACATCTGCATATACAGTGGAAATCAGAAGGCAAAACACATATTTAAACTAAACTGAACCTAAAGAGCAGAATGGTGTTATTTTTTTTCTCTTTCTCTTTTTAAAATCTTCCCTCTTATAATGTACTGAGCTTCACAGAACACTTGATGGGAACTGGACTTCAGCTCAAAAGCAAGCATTAGGTCAACTGATGCCTATACAAGTCCACGGTCATCTAGCAAGTAGTCTCTCTTCCCAAGAACGAAGATTTATCTGGAGAACCCACAGCAGGAAGCAGCAGGAATTAACTATCCAGATTCACAGTCATTTAGAACAACAGTGAATTATTATTATAATTAATCACAAAGAAGGACCTGCTAGGATAACAACAGCCATTATTTCTTTTTTTTAATTTGTTGTTGTTTTTTTCCTTTTACCCTCTTTATTGATCGCACATCTTGCTTGAGTACGCCTGAAATCTGTTATTCGTGCATTTCCAGAGATTTAAGCTGCTTTTAAAAACACAAGTCAATTAGGATACTTGGCCTAATATACTATGTAAACAAGTAAAACAGGCCATGTCAAATACTTTCTCTGTTGTAAAGCCTTTATCATCCAAAAAGGACAACACATTATTTTGTGGTCCAGAAAAAGGCTCTACTGGGAATATACTGCCCCAGTCACCTTCAAAGTAAGTGTAAGTCCAAGTAATGAATTTATATAAGGTCTCCAATTCCAAATAATTAATTTACATATGGTACATAACCAGAAGAACTACATGGCCAAGCTACTTTGGTACAGACTGTAGGTAACAAAAAAGGTACTCACGAGCTTTCCAAGAGGAAAGCATTTATACTTCAGAACATATCAAGATTAAATGATGACACAGACTGACACATCATGTCAGATATGATCATCATTTATCCTACTGCAAGGAATGTAAGTATGAAAGTAGTTGTATATATCACTTTAAATAAACTGTTTTGAGAGTACATGGCAGTCTATGTAAATTAGGTTTACTTGACAGCAGCATTAGAACATGTAGATTAACTGTAGTTAACACTGCAGGGGAAGGAGGTAGCTTAGTTATAAGCATAGAGATTTAAAGAGCGTAAGCAATCTGTAAATAGTGGTGAGAGCTGCAAACCTGTTGAAGCAGAGTGTAAGCTCCATCAGGTATCTGGGGACCAAGCATTGGCACATTGTGTCAGACATTCTTCACCCAGTCCTGAAAATTGCATTGTTTGGAGTTACTTAGTACAATAACTCTGAACCAGGACTTATGGCCATCTCTCCTATCTCCAGAGAGGCATGAGGACAAGGAGGAGTGGCATGACTGGAACCACTATACTAATTTCTGTCCTGGAGAAAAAGTACCATGACAGCATCTACTTTTATATTACTCCATCATATAGCGTACCTTGTATCAATAACAATTTTAAAACTGTAATAGGAGGAGGGAGTAAGCTGCTTTCCTCCTTCCCTTTATTTGAATGAGCAATGTAAAATTAAGTTATGTCCCTTTGAAACTTCTATGAAGCTCAGTGCATGCCAGTATCTAGATTCACATAATAAAAAACTATTGTTCTTACCATATTGACATCAGTAGGACACAGCACACTAAGTTCAATTATTTTTTAAAATCAACTGTATAAAAAATGTTAAGGTAAACTTCTGTATCTTACTCCAGTCTTGTCAATAATTATTCAAGACAAAAAAATCTAAATAAAATTAATCAACTGGAAAAAAAATCAAAACTTCAGCCAATTGAACATAAAGCTGTATCTAAGCAGGCTAAGAAGACAGAGTTTGAAGGACAATATTCAAAAAATATCTACAACGAACAGAGAAAGAAGGAAGCCAACCAGATAACCTGTAGGGTCAGTAAAAGATCACAGTAAGAAGGTATACCCAGAGAAAACAAACTTCAGTAACACTTCATTGATGTTCTATGTGTGTGAAATGAGTTCCCACAGTAGAACACAGAGAGAGACAGGATATCTTTCACAGGTTTAGGGGTTGGCAGAAGAACTTATAAACAAAGCCAACAATTAAAAGACACAAAAGAGGATTCACCCAAAAGTTAGGAATAAAATCAAATATACAGTTACTTCAATACTCACTACTGCATATAAAGTCTTACTTTAAAGTACATTGACACACCCAGGAAGATGACCAAAAAAAAAGCTGATATTTGCAGGGATGTTTTTGGGGAAGATCTGGACAACAACGGCCTGGTAAGCTTGACTTTTCTACTGTGCAAATATATTGAAAGTATATAATATCTAGAACAGAAGGATAAAATTCTTGAATAGCATGACTAAATGCAACATGAATGAACAATGTGAAAAAATGCAGAACAGCTCTGTAAAGCAAAGACCGTTTTCACAAACTGATGAGATGTTGGTAAGTCTCATGAAATAGGCAAAACCACTCTGACTGGCATAAGACTGGACTTGAAGAAAGAAAAAAAATACTATACTAGCAGTATAAAATACTATTCTAGCAGTCATTTTTAAAAGAACTCAGTTAAACAGGAACACAAGTAACGGGACTGCACCATTTGACAATTCTGCCTTCACAAAATACGTTTCCTTGAGAAAGATCTTTCAGATTTGGGGCTGCTTCACTAAAATTATAAATAAGAAATAATCCCCAGTTATTCTTCTTTGAACAACCAACTTGAAAAGTGGCTAAATTGATAACAGTTTGGGACTTAAACTGTCACAGTAGATCCTGTCATCTTTGTAGTGCTTGTCAGAGCTATTATTCTGAAATCTTCGAGTAATTGTCTTAATAGTACCCAGTACAGGAGAAATTAAGACTCTTCTCTTGCACAATCAAGCTTTTTGGAAACAGAATAAGCTCTTCATACCCAATATTTGTCTGTCATGACCTTTAAAATCTTGCTCAGAACGTGTGTTGCATGCTGGTAGCCCAGATATTTTTACTAATAACAGGCTACAAACTTTGTATTAAGCTAAGAATACATGCCTCCGGACTTGTCAGGCTATAATGAGACTTTGCTTGGCCTGCCTGGATCTTTGTTTCAGCTTATTTATCTGCAATAGAAGTAGGCTAATATCAGAATGACTACTATCTTATTTGTTTTAGATTTGACTTAGCCTTGTACAAGTTTGGTTTGTGGCACACAGTTCATATGCACATTTTACTCTTGCATATATATCTATGACTAGCAGGTAGATATATGACCCTAAACGAAGTGCAGCACAGAGGAGCAGAGGCACGAGATAAGAGCAGACATGTTTATCTGACAATAATTTGATTAGTCCATTAACACTTTATTTAAATTAATGATAGATCCCTGACTTTTAATGGAATCTGTGTTCCTTATGCCCACAAACAGCACAAATTACAGTAAAACAACTTGGAGGATCTGACGAGACTCGTCTATAACTTGGATGCTACAAATGACAGTTGAAATGTACTACAATTCCTTACAGAATATATTCTCCTATTCTGTAAGTATGGGCTATATTGTTTATTCTTAAACTTTTTTTTTGTATTTGATTTAGTATAGGTCCACTTTACAAATCCATCCACATCCACTGTCAGTATTCGTATTTTTCCCTCAGTAGCTTTTTTTTTTTTTTACTGCCCCTGATTTTGTAGTGCTTTATCTCTCTGGAAAAAAAAAGAGTCATTCATTCAATTTTATTTTCTTGATTCAATTAGCTCTTCCATTCAAAACTAGTAATTCAGTATCTCTGGTTGTATTACCAATATTACTGACTGAGACTCTACAAATGTGTATATGATAACATACAGTCAGTTATAATGTACTGTACTGCGCATTTACATTTATATTTCAATAAAACAAAATTCATGGTGTTTGATTACAACAGAATTAGAACCTTTGACATTCTTATCAGTAGTGTAGAACAGTATATTTACAATACTAACATGAAAAAAAAATAATAAAAAGTATGGACATGTAAGCAAGAAATTAGATTTTATCTAATTTGATTTAAACTATCAAGGAAGAGGCAATCAAGAAAGTAGACTACAGTGTAAATCCAGACCAAACTGGTTTAATCTTTGATGTAGCAATGTAATTTAGATGAAATGATGTCTACAGATGCAATTGCTGCTAAAACATTTTTTTTACTTTTAATTCCCCAAATGAACAAGGTACTTGTACACACGTGCCCTTCAAATAAAAAACAAGACAAGATACCACAGTGAAAAGCAAGAAACCTATCAGTGAAAAGTACCACTGTTCTAGTATTCAAGTCAAATTTGATCAAGTGGGAATTCAACTTCAGTTTGTAACTAGAACATAAGTTAGTTTTCCTGGAATAAACAAGACAAAGACCTAGTGGATTTTGTTAGCAAACTATTCCCATAGGAATACAAAGACAACAGTGAAAGTTCCAAACGGAATTCTGCAAAAGCAGAACAAGAAGCGGTTATACAAGAGGAAGCAAGTAAGCAACGCCTCATTTAAATCTACCTTTGAGTAATTTGCTTCATGAAACTTTAAAAAGAAGAAAAAAAATAAGAAAAACAACAGCAAGAGCCTATTACTGTATCACAAATGTTTATAACATGTTTCAAATGAAACTACCATTTAATGGCAGTTACAAAGAGAACAGAGGCTCTCTCTTCAGAAGTAGCCGTATGTGAAGAG